ACGACCACAACGCATGATGTAGTCAGCCGGATCCGGGCCGTATCTAGACCAGATGGAGGACCTGCACCTAGACACGACCACAACGCATGATGTAGTCAGCCGGATCCGGGCCGTATCTAGACCAGATGGAGGACCTGCGCCTGGACACGACCACAACGCATGATGTAGTCAGCCGGATCCGGGCCGTATCCAGACCAGATGGAGGACCTGCGCTTAGACACGACCACAACGCATGATGTAGTCAGCCGGATCCGGGCCGTATCCAGATCAGATGGAGGACCTGCGCATAGACACGACCACAACGCATGATGTAGTCAGCCGGATCCGGGCCGTATCCAGACCAGAGGGAGGACCTGCGCATAGACACGACCACAACGTATGATGTAGTCAGCCGGATCCGGGCCGTATCCAGACCAGATGGAGGACCTGCGCATAGACACGACCACAACGCATGATGTAGTCAGCCGGATCCGGGCCGTATCCAGACCAGAGGGAGGACCTGCTCCTGGACACGACCACAACACATGATGTAGTCAGCCGGATCCGGGCCGTATCCAGACCAGATGGAGGACCTGCGCATAGACACGACCACAACGCATGATGTAGTCAGCCGGATCCGGGCCGTATTCAGACCAGATGGAGGACCAGCGCATAGACACGACCACAACGCATGATGTAGTCAGCCGGATCCGGGCCGTATCCAGACCAGATGGAGGACCTGCGCAGAGACACGACCACAACGCATGATGTAGTCAGCCGGATCCGGGCCGTATCCAGACCAGATGGAGGACCTGCGCATAGACACGACCACAACGCATGATGTAGTCAGCCGGATCCGGGCCGTATCCAGACCAGATGGAGGACCTGCGCCTAGACACGACCACAACACATGATGTAGTCAGCCGGATCCGGGCCGTATCCAGACCAGATGGAGGACCTGCACCTAGACACGACCACAACGCATGATGTAGTCAGCCGGATCCGGGCCGTATCCAGACCAGATGGAGGACCTGCGCGTGGACACGACCACAACGCATGATGTAGTCAGCCGGATCCGGGCCGTATCCAGACCAGATGGAGGACCTGCGCCTAGACACGACCACAACGCATGATGTAGTCAGCCGGATCCGGCCCGTATCCAGACCAGATGGAGGACCTGCGCCTGGACACGACCACAACGCATGATGTAGTCAGCCGGATCCGGGCCGTATCCAGACCAGATGGAGGACCTGCACCTAGACACGACCACAACGCATGATGTAGTCAGCCGGATCCGGGCCGTATCCAGTTCAGATGGAGGACCTGCGCATGGACACGACCACAACGCATGATGTAGTCAGCCGGATCCGGGCCGTATCCAGACCAGATGGAGGACCTGCGCCTAGACACGACCACAACGCATGATGTAGTCAGCCGGATCCGGCCCGTATTCAGACCAGATGGAGGACCTGCGCCTGGACACGACCACAACGCATGATGTAGTCAGCCGGATCCGGGCCGTATCCAAACCAGATGGAGGACCTGCGCCTAGACACGACCACAACGCATGATGTAGTCAGCCGGATCCGGGCCGTATCCAGACCAGATGGAGGACCTGCGCCTAGACACGACCACAACACATGATGTAGTCAGCCGGATCAGGGCCGTATCCAGACCAGATGGAGGACCTGCACCTAGACACGACCACAACACATGATGTAGTCAGCCGGATCAGGGCCGGATCCAGACCAGATGGAGGACCTGCGCCTAGACACGACCACAACACATGATGTAGTCAGCCGGATCAGGGCCGTATCCAGACCAGATGGAGGACCTGCACCTAGACACGACCACAACGCATGATGTAGTCAGCCGGATCCGGCCCGTATCCAGACCAGATGGAGGACCTGCGCCTGGACACGACCACAACGCATGATGTAGTCAGCCGGATCCGGGCCGTGTCCAGATCAGATGGAGGACCTGCGCCTAGACACGACCACAACGCATGATGTAGTCAGCCGGATCCGGGCCGTATCCAGATCAGATGGAGGACCTGCGCCTAGACACGACCACAACACATGATGTAGTCAGCCGGATCCGGGCCGTATCCAGACCAGATGGAGGACCTGCGCCTAGACACGACCACAACACATGATGTAGTCAGCCGGATCCGGGCCGTATCCAGATCAGATGGAGGACCTGCGCCTAGACACGACCACAACGCATGATGTAGTCAGCCGGATCCGGGCCGTATCCAGATCAGATGGAGGACCTGCGCCTAGACACGACCACAACACATGATGTAGTCAGCCGGATCCGGGCCGTATCCAGACCAGATGGAGGACCTGCGCCTAGACACGACCACAACGCATGATGTAGTCAGCCGGATCCGGGCCGTATCCAGTTCAGATGGAGGACCTGCACCTAGACACGACCACAACGCATCCCCGAAGTGTCAGCAGAGATTGTGTGAACTAGACTCTCATCGAAGGCCTCATTGACACGACAGCCATCGGCACTGATCCTCTACAAACTCGTCTCCATACCGGCGTTATGAACGATCTTAAACCAGATGGAACTGGATAATATTCTGATTGTTCGTGACCTGTAATGCTGCCTGAATCATAATCATACACTGTTGGTTCGTTGGCCAGAGGAGAACTGAGCGACTGAGTCTCATTTCTCACAAGGTTTTTTCTCCATTCTGTCACTGATGGAGTTTTGGTGCCACTGTCGCCTTTTTCCACCTTTGTTGCCATTGGCTTGTCTTGCTTAGTTGGGGACATTAAATTTAACATTTAATCTAATATTTAACAATATTATTGATCTCCTGCATTGACACCATTATATGAGAACTGAACTGAGCTGGACGATGACATCATGGTTTTCTCCGGAGCGGCTATATATATATAAATTAACTAAATAAATAACTTTTTTACAACAAAAATGAACCATCACTGAACTTACTTAAGCTGGACTGTGACGCTATTTTCTTCTAGAAACAAACTCTGTTGCATTATTTTCCTGTTATCTCTGTAAAGCTGCTTTGAAACACTCTGTAATGTAAAAAGCGCTATAAATAAAGGTGACTTGACTACAGATTGGTACCAATGTACCTCTCCATTCAGAGCACAGGTCATTACTCTCTCTGCTCCCCCTGTTTCCGAGGATGAGCAGTCCTAATACTTTAATAATTTCTGCTAATTAAAGCCCTAATCAACCACAAAAATGTTCATGAACTAGCTGGATTATGCTAAAAATAAAACAACCTAATTATGAAAATATAAACATCATACCCAGACAGCAACATAGTGTCGGCCCAGATCCGGCCCACATCTGGGCCGACGCACTGTCTGGGTTTAAACATGAAACTATTATCACCCTGATGAAGAGTAATAAACTGGTGATGTGGATTTACTCACTGTAGAGTTAACGAAAGTTATCATGAGCATTGTGAAGCGGATCATGTCGATTCTGAAACGAGCCGCTCATTCATCCCAGAAAGCAACATAGTGTAAATATTTGATTTATGTTATATGTGCCAATAGTGGATTACCGATCTCTAATTATAAATTCCTTTAATTTATGATTAGCAGAATATATAGGACATTCTGTTCTGCATAAGCACAAAAACAATTTTATCTGTACATCTAAACATTTTTATATGTAATGTTGTCATGTTAGAGCATTGCAGCGTGAAATGGAAGAGAGCGTGGTTTGGATTTATCATCTTTAATAAGAAGGTCGGCAGCATCAGATTGTGGGTTTCTGAAATGATTCAATTTAAAGATCTGCAGCATTAAAGATTGTTGCCCTTAAAATAAAAAAAAAGAAGATATCAATACATGTGACAAACAGACACACACTTCTAATGTAAACACTGATCATCCACACAAGCTATTTAGCCAGAATTTAAAAACAACCTACAGTATACGATGCATTTAAAAGTAGTTTTGCATTACGCTTAAGTGTAACTATAGCGCCATCTATTGTGCGTTTCATGAAAAACAAAGATCCCAATCATTTTGGGGATCAGACATTTTAAATGCATTTATATGTGCCATCAAACATGATCACAGCAACACACATTATTATTGTTATATAGTTAGATTGTGTGTATCTTCCTGTCTTCGTTTAATTTTAATGGCAGCGTTATTCAGGGAAGAGTGGAGTTTGAACACGTCATCATTCCTCGCCTGGTGAAACTGTTATCCATAGAAATAGAAAAAGCTCGTGGAGAGGCTGTTGGCCTGAGAGCAGCTGTAAGAGGGGAGGGGTTTGACGGACCAGACGCTGATATGATTATTAAAATTGACCAACCAAATAGACATATATAGACAATATAGAACATAAGGATGTAAAAAAAAAAATTGTCTGTTGTTTGTAAAAATTATGTTTGTATGTATATTTAGTAGAGAGAGAGAGCGAGGGAGAGAGAGAGAGAGAGAGAGAGAGAGAGAGAGAGAGAGAGAGAGAGAGAGAGAGAGAGAGAGAGAGAGAGAGAGAGAGTTTCATAAGTACAAAAATAATGAAAAAAATATTTCGAAATAATAATAAGCAATAATTTTAAATAATAATGCTCCTAAAGGTCTTAATAATAATAGTAGTAGTAATCCTCGTATTCAATTGTGTACTTTCAATTCTGAATAGATTAACGTTTGTCACGTGCTGAATTCGGAATAGCATGCAACTAAAATTTCTACAATATTCGTATATGGCATAAATAGTAATAGTATGTGCAAAAAACAAACAAAAATACAAAATTGTAACCTGTTACTTTTCTCAGCATTGATTTACGTGAACCAGTCGCAGCCGTGTGTGATTACTGTTTAATACCTTTGTAAAATCACATTTTAAAAAGATTACTGGAATGAATCTCCATTAGTATATCAGGTGAGATTCTTTTGAATTAATGCATTCACATTTTTAATGCACAAATATCCCCAACAAAACAAACAACCTCGTGAGATTTGAAAGCGTTTGTACAGAGAATTGCCCTTTTTGGGCCAACTCGCGCCCCCTACAGGACGCGCGCGCACCGGCGTCTCCGGAGACCGTTATCATTAGCGGACAGCGTTTGCAGCTCAATGGTGCTGTGTGCGTGTGTTGATCAGATCAGCTGGTGTTTGCAGTGATGGAGGTGAACAGGGATGAAGCGGAGCGTTGCGTTGAGATCGCGTTAGGAGCGTTGGAGCGCGCGCAGCCCGAGAGAGCGCGCCGGTTCCTGGAGAAAGCGCAGCGTCTTTACGCGACGCGCCGCGCACAGGGTGAGCGTCTGAACCCGGGCTAATCCAGGCCCTGATCGCACTACAGCACACACAGCACTACAGCACTCACGGGAACCGTGTTATTGGGTCGTGTGTGTTGCTCGTGTAACCGCGCGTTCATGAGGGACTCGGACACAACGCGCGGTCCTCAGTTGCATCCACGCGTAATGTGTTTATATGTCGTTTAGTCTGAAAGTGCTGCTCAAATATGCAGTTCTGTCTTAAACATAGGGATGTGATGGGTTGTTCATGTTTATGGTTGTGTGTGTGTGTGTGTGTGTGTGTGTGTGTGTGTGTGTGTGTGTGATATGATGATGATGATGATGATGATGATGCAACTCTTGCACACATGTCAGGTTCAGATGTTATGTTAATCTGGCTGTCTCTCAAACCCAAATGAGTTTGATTAGACAGCATATCAGGGCATTCAAAACTTCACAATATAATCAAAACAAGAATGATTTATTTAGAAATACTTGTTATATATATATATATATATATATATATATATATGAAGAAATAATAAATAATGCTAATATTTGTGCATAAATAACTATTTTCAGGATTTTTTTTGTTGCATTGTGCCATTTTCATAACCATGCATTGTTTTAATTTATTTATTTTTGTTCATAAAACATGATATTATTATCATTTTCTTTAAGCAGAGTTGTTAAGGCAGCTTCTCACTCTCATCCACTTACGCTATAATGTCCAGTTGCTCACTATAAAGGGAACTCACTAGTGTGTGACGCACTGAAATCTTCATGTATAAATACAAAGTTTACACTGTGAAAATAAATATTATATAAATGCACGTAAAACAGTATCTGTTTCTGTTCTGATTTTCCTGCTCACTATATTACTGTGATGTATTATTTATTTATTACATTTTTATTTCTTTGATTAATTCTGAATGAGTGATTAATGCAGATCTGCTGGAGTCTCTGGAGCCTCAGAGCGGGGGTGCAGGAGCCCGTCAGCGGAGGTCAGGGGTCACCAGTAACGGCGCGCCACCTGCCGACTCCAGTAAACCCTACACACCTGAGCAGGCCGAGGCCGTCCGCAGGTGAACACACCTCACAGGATTATATATATATCATATTCCACATCTCTAGTGTCTTCTGTACGTTGAGCCGTAATCAACATAATCATTCAGCTTATCTCTGTCTGCTAATGTATCGAAATATTTCCAGTCTCAACAGATATTATTCCAATAGATCCAAACCAGTGTTGTTTTAGTTTTTTTTATATTACCGGTATTTATTAATGTTTTTTAAATAATTTTTATTGGTATTTTTTCATATTTTAAATTTTATTTTAAGATTTAATACTTTTGCTAGTAAGTTTTAGTATATGTGTTATTTGATTTAGTCATTTTTTATCAGTTTTTAGGGTTTTATATTTAGCTTTAATTTTTTTATTTTGGTATTAATTGTCAACATTTTAGTACTTCAACATTATTCATGAGATCCAAGTCAGTGTTATTTAACTATATTTATACAGTCACAGTATTTATTAATATTTTGAATGACCTTTTATTGTTATATTTTCAGCAATTTTAGTAAGTTTTAGCAACTTTGTAATGTCATTTTGCAATTTTTATTATATTATAGTACATTTTTATTTTATTATATTATTTTTAGTTTTTTTATATTATATTTGTATTTTATATTTAGCTTTCGTTTGTTTGTTTTAGTAATTTTAGTACTTCAACTTAAACATATTATTCCATAAGATCACTATTATTTATATACTGTCTATTAATATTTTGAATTACCTTTTTATATTTACCTTGTTACATTTTCAGTAGTTTTGATAAGTTGAATACATTTTGTAAAGTAATTTTTAGTAATGGTAAATGGACTGCACTGCATTTATATAGCATATTATATTTATATTTTATATTTAGCTTATAAAATATTATTAGTATTACATTATACAAATATATTTAGAATTATGTTATACAACATTTTTATTTCACTATATTATATTTATATTTAGCTTTAATTTGTTTTTTGTTTTAGTCATTTTAGTACTTTACTTAAACATGTAATTGAGTT